AATACACGAGTTAATGAAGTTGCGGAAACTAGTTGTCAGCGATATTCAAGAATACGTAAGTTTCTCCTTCTTTTTTCATAGATTTCTAGGAAGTCGTCAACTTCATTACCGATAAAAATAGATCATTACTCTCTTCAGGCTGATGCTCTAGTTGCTTTTTACGAAAATGGACTACGTGCGAGGGAGAACGTATTACGACGCTTGGGCATCCAAATACCCAGACCATCAAGCCTTCGCATCATCGAAAGCACCATAGATTGCCTTATGAAGCTTTCCAAAGATATCCCTCTTCTGAAAGTAAGCCTACATTTCTTGGAGATATCACCATGTTATACTGTCATTACTAAATTTTTCAGCACTTCGTTTCACCCTTGCTTTTCAGCGCAAGCGCCTTTTCAGAGGCTTAAAAGTGTTCCAAGATCAAGATATGTTAACACTCTTCGACCGAGCTTTCAAACCAAGTCCCTGAACTTTTTTTCCGGAAAAGAGGAGATACATTCACTAGCAGGGTACAGCATCGTTGTGTGAAACACATGGGGGGGTCGTACTTTTCCGCTGGGGAGGGGGTCGTATTTGGTCGTTGGGAGAGGGAGGGGGTCGTATGTGCCTTTGAGAGAAATTTGCTGCGTTGGGAAAAAATTTTTCCCGGTTGTTGACTTTTCGCGTGATTTTTGTGATTTTTCCTGCTTCAAGTGTACTACTATATACCCCCCCCCTCCTCCTCCTCCTCTCGACGAAAATTCCTTGGGTGATAAACTGAAGAATGTGGGAACTTGGTAGATAGGTGATTGAGAAGGGGGGGGGGGAGTCGTACTGACACCAGCATTTCACACATCACGATGCTGTACCCCGTTCACTAGCGTTTCACTGCCTCATACACCAACCTGAATGAATGGGTCTGGCGCAAATGTCATAACGAGAAGGGGAACGTAGCACGAGCCAATTCACGGCTCTTAGAACGACATCAGCGAAAAGGAAGATGCCTGGTTACTGACGGTTGCTCATCTCGGCGGTGTTTTGCTTGGAGGGGACATCTGTGACTAATCCTGCTCGAGACGAATAGGAACGATATGATGCGACACGTCGATGGAATACCGATACAGTCCTGTTCGCTGCGATGACGGGGAATATCAGTGCGGCCGCCATGTGAGCCAGTTGTTGAAGGAGGTAAACGACAACAATTGGTGGAAAGCGACTCACGCGAACGATATGATACAGTCTGGTCGCTCGCCGAGAAAAAAAGGAAAAGAAACGGGCTCGCTCTGTATCAAACCATTTCCCTCTGACATGTCCCATCGCACGCAGCGATGGGACGGGAACATTACTGGTGGGTGATAGGAAGTGATAACAAGTGATAAGAACTGATAAGGGGCGCTGAAATCGGAACGTCACTGAAATCTTAGCGCGAACAATAGTGGGAACGTTGTTCCTGAAAGTGATGTAGGGATTGCTACGGGAACATTATTGACGAGTGACAGTAGGGAGCATCACTGAAGTTATTACCCGCGCCAAGGCAAAAGTGTAAAAATAAATCTTGCGAATGATATAGGGCGTATGATGGGAATATAGATGATGGGGTAAGACAGAAGGCGATATATTTGACCAACAGGGAGATGATGAGCTATTTACATAAAAAAAATGTTCGTTTCCCATTCATCACACGTTCCATCAGTATTAACTGTGACCACTGTGCGCTCGTCAAAGGCGGCTCAGAGAATCAGTGAGTAGCACGCTTCATTTTCAAATGATACCATCAAAACAGTTCTCGAGCAGCCTTACCATGAATGGGAGGCGATTTAAGAAAAGGAAATAAGGACATGGCACTTTGATAAATTATGAGGTAAAGAGGAAGTGGCACGGTGATTTCAATGGCCAGAAGTCAGTTCAAAGATCTCAGAAGCAAAGGTCGATGCAAAAATTATCTTGACACCTTGGTCAGACCCGAAGGGTGTTCACCGACGTGGCTTGCGCAGCTTCGTCTGCAGCTAAACTAGTATGGACAAGTTCTCTCTGTTATGCTTCATGCGTCCTCTGTACTTTACTATTAACCTGCTTCAGAAAACCGCTTTCATACGTGGCGAATGGCTGAGTCGCCTTCAGCGTCAGGTTGAGATTGCTCAGTCCTACTCGGCAACACCACAGTACGACCAGTGAGTTAGAGTAATTCATTGAGGACAGTGAAATAATTTATTTAACCGTTTTTCACGTGATTCTTCAATCTGAAAACAAGGCAGTTCCCTGATGATCTTCTAAGTTCTCTCTCTAAAATCGGACTTTAGGACTTTGTAGAAGGAGCAGTCTTTAAAACATTTACCTCAGAAAAACGATGACTTGCGTTTCAGGAGATCTGCTTCTGAATGATTTAGTAAACGTGAAATCGAAATTTATGAGGGGCAGCAGCCGATACCAGGACAAAGCTTCCAGCGAATTAGACAAGAACTCCACTTAAGAATGAGTCAACCAGGGATCCCGATACCCTTAGCAAGGGGGTGTCGTAGGAGGTCATCATTCGATAGTTTGATTTCAGACTCTTAATTTTCCAAAAAAAGCAAAAAACATTTTCTCTAATGCTGTATCCCCTTTCCATAACCTCCCTCCCTTTGTGATTAAGGGATAAAGGGACAGTGGAATAGGGGTGAGGGTCATATTCACAAATTTCAATCAACACCGCGTTACATTTAGAGATAGAGATGTCACTGTGTAATTTCAACGTGCCTGCCTCATAATTGCAGAACTGCCTTCGGATTAGAAATGAGCTGAAAGGCTTACAAAACATAGAGGGTGTCATAAAACGTAGAGGGCTTGTTTCGCCTCCTGGCCTCGGACGAACCACCCACTATAAGGCAGTGAAGGGATGAATGACGACCAATAAGGAAGGTACTGTGGTCAACTTCCTCATCCCAGTTCTCCACCTAGACAATCAGTGTGGACTGTTGCGTTAATCTGTGATACTACAAATATTCGATGTATACAAGTCAAACTTTCAATTTTTCAAAACGGCCTCTTTAACTCAGAGCTAGATTCCAGTTACGATTTCTTTTCCACTATCATTACTACTAGAGCAGAAATCACCAAGTACTACAAACTTTCGCAAACTTCAATTTGGCTTTTTTATCTGGGCATGACGATTTTTACAGAACCTCGAATCAACTTTCCACCCAGTTTGATTCCTCCGAACTCATTCAGGATTAATCTCCTACACGTCAAGCTGTACTTTGCTCACTTCAAACAAGAACGTATTGTTCAGGAGCGGTCGTACAACATGTTTCTTCTCCTAGGTAACAGTATTATATTCAAAACGATTCTATTCCTTGATAGCATTTTTTGCGGCTGCCATCTTGTGGGTGGCGGGGTTCAAACACCAAGGTGCTAATATACAGCAGATATCGTCTGGGCCGTGTCAGGAGGCTTACAATGAGCCGGTCGTTTTCTAACACTTATTGCTTCACATCTGAACCAACCACTATAGGTAGAGAACACGGCTGTGCGTGGGTTCATTCCACACCTGACACCGCCCCTTCGCTCGACGATATCTCAACTGTAAGTACCTTTCTACGCATGTTCGTTTATTTGTTTGTTTGTCTGGGAATTCAGTTGTACCTGGGGTGCAGCTTGGAGAGTCGGGTTGAGGTGGGGAGGGGTAGGGCATGAAACGAAATGTGCAGAGCACTTATGACTCGGCGAAGCCCCGCACACAGTACTCAAAGCATGACTGAAAGTGAGCGGTGTCGCAGACCAAAATCCAAGAGATGGGGAAAATGTGGACCAAGGGATTGACAGACTAACTGGGGAGGCTCACCTGAATTGGGCGGTACTACAAAGGAAATCCAGTAACTCGGTACTTGAGAGAGTTCGGAGATCGCAAAAAAAGTCAGTGTAAAAGCGAAAGATCTGGAGAGAGTTGAGTATTCTGGGTTGTGTTGAGACCCCCTCAAAATGGGTGAGCATGCCTTCAAGCGCGAGGCCTTGTTTCAAAGTTTTGTAGTTCGGTTCCAGAGCACTGCAGTAATAGAAAAGTGGATTATGGTGAGGCAGAGACTAGAAAAGTGGATTATGGTGAGCAGGGGGGGGGGGGGAGGGGAGGGTGAATCAATGGGCAAAAAGAGCGAGAAAGGCACCCGTTGGTATGGATGGGGCAATAGTCAGAAATCTAGGAATCGGTTCCTGAGCAGCCCATGTACCGGAAAAAAAAGTGGATCGAGGTCAACGAGGGGCCTGCGTGTAAGAAGAATATCTGCCATGTTCTGCACTAATTCTTCTACCGAGGCACACGCCAGCAAGGTGCCCTCAAGGAGTTGAAAAATCAACATTGAAACATACTCAAACTAACTATTCAATTGTTTTTAAAAATCACGTTATTTGAGGAGCAATAGTCTGCTTGCATGTTTCAGCCGAAATTGGTGGCACGATTGGGCTCTACGTTGGCGCGACGTTGCTGACCGTTGCTGAGACTATTGTCTTCTTTTTCGAGGAACGAACTAGAAAAATTCTGGTGAAACCAGCCTACATTTAATCCCACTAAATGAATTCTTCAGATAGTGGTTGTTTTCGTTGAACCGTCGTGTTGACTCTGTACTGGGTCACACTTTCTTATCGCAGGGAAATTGTGAGACGCCATAGCGCAATAAATCATAAATAATCATATCATCAGAATCAGTGACGCCTCCTTTTCTGCAGTGACGCCTCCAGACTCCGCCTTAAGGGCCCGCCTTTCAGTGAAAAAGGAAGCTGCCGGACGAAAAAGCATAAAAACCTAGACTTTGTACCTAATTTGACTAGGAAGGGCGGAGACGGTCTAGCGACAAGTGGCATCCTCACGCACAGTCCACAGATCAGTTCTGGAGAGACCTGTACAGCGAGGCTTGCTTCGAAGAGAGAATCGATATGTAAAAAAAATACTGACAAAACATTTCATTCGCCAATAAAAAACAATCTGAAAATAACTTGGAAATGTAATAAGTCGAGCATCATCTCGTGAAAAAGAAAGTGACTAAACAGTACAACTCATACTCTGGTTCGCTGCGGATGATGGGGCGTGTCCGCGATCGCGCTTGGCGCTGAGCCAACCTGTTTTTTTTTTCGACGAACGACAGGACTACCATATCGTTCGTATCAGACGTTTTCCAGCAGTTCGTCTCCTTTATCAGAACCAACCAGCAATTGGCGGAGCCCGAATCTGGCAGCGTCGACAGGGACACGCTCCATCATACGCAGCGGAAAACACTGTAAACAAGCTGTTTTTGTTGAATAACTGCTGTTTTGACCGCCGACCAGTACGCGTTACGAAAGTGCCGTAAGCGCTTAGCAGGCAGCTTAACACGTTTAACTTGGTGCTGGTAAGGTTACGGCAATAAGCGCCGTGTAAGCTGAGAGGGGTAAAAATAGGCCCTAGGTGAGTAAGCGGATATGCGCACTCGCCGAAAGCGTCGAGGTGGCGCGTTCGACTTCCAGTCTGAGGGGCACGACTTTTGCCCATAACTCAGCATTCTTGTGATAGCTGTAAACAAGTGCACAGGTTCGCCATGGACCTCCCTGAATCCTATAGACACATTTGCTCGCGTGGACAGACATTACGCTCAAACATATCACCATCCCATCACTCTCTGCTCGGAAATTATGGTATCTGCGGCCTAATACTAGATGATAAAAGGATCAAAGTCATTCCGCGTGAGTCAAATACCCTCTGTGCGATCGCCGCAGCATCCAAAGTTAGCATGATTGGCGCTAAACAAACCACATCCTGCTCCTGCTCCACCACAGGATACGTTCTACATGTATTTCAGGCTATTCGAACACGCTCGCTTGAAACCGTACACAGAAAACGGACTTTCAAAACAGTTCGGAGTGTTCCCAACTAATCCCCAACGCAAATGCATCTATGAATCGAGACTTTCAGAAATAATTTAAGTAGTTTTTGGAAAGAAAAATCTTCCAGAGTTCGATACTGGTTTCAGATTCCCAAACTATTGAGGTTCAAGGGAAATATCTCGGTTCACCTGCAAAACTCGCGCTGCAGACTATCCAAAAATGAACTCCCTAAATACTCCCCAACGCAAATTTCTACATGAAATCGGCGATCTTTATGTACATGTTAGTATGTTTTGGAAAGATTAAATCTTTCTCAATACCATTGCGTTCTTCTTTTTCCCCAAAGGTCCGCTATTACGGAGAGTTATGGTCCTTTAAAGAGACCCCACTTTCCTGAAATCCGCGCTTCCATAAAACAGCACTGCACTCCTTGCGAGCTGGAGGCTCCTGCCACAGCGCTTCCCAGGTACCTCGGCTTAATCAGCTGATTTCGGCTGGTTTGCTCTCGTTCGTATTTACTCATTCGTGTTTATCTTCTTTTCTGTTTATTCGAATATCGAATATTTATCTTCTTCTCGGTTTACTCGAATATCGATTACTTATCTTCTTCTCAGTTTACTCGAATACGCGTCAGAGCGCGCCCCAGCAATTTTGCTTGGACCGCTCAGAGTGCTTTTAGGAGAAGTTGGCTTAATTTCCTGTTTTTTTTCTTTTAATTGCAATTGATTTCACGGTCAGCTACAGAGTTTGTTTTTGTCTCGAGAAAAGGTGGAACCGTGAAATTGACCGGGCCGCTTCTTCTCTACTTCTCTTTCTGAATCAGGATAAAAATGACAAAAAGCGAGGGACGCCGAATAGGCTTGGTCATTGGAGAATACTCTCGCCTACTTGTAAATGGAAAGGGCGCCTGAGTACGCCTATAGAAAGAAAAGATGGAATATCGAAGTAGGGTACCCTGACCACTGAGTCCCCTCTATTACCCGCTTCGGGCGGATTTCAATAGGGCGGTTTACGGTGGCGGAGAAAGTACATATCTCGCTGATCCAGACACCACATCGCGGTCGGGTCGCCCAGAATCTTCTCGATGGCACCGTTTGCATGAAGGCTGTGGCGGAGTGTCATGATAGTATTTAATATGCTCTTTAATATGGTGGTAAAAATGTCCGATCAGAATTTAATAAAGTGTAACTTATAGCGCCTCGAAAGTCAATGAAGGAAAGTGACTTTTTTTGCCCCCCCCCTCCTGTATAGTAGGATAATCCGAAAACCTTGAACTATTTCTGTCAGAACTCTACATTTGAAAAAAAAGACTTGCGAAGGGAGAACTTAGGCGGTGCAATGCAGAAGCAAGAGAAAACTGACTGCTGAACTCAATGTTTATGCCCCCTGGAAGGCAGTTGTTCATGAGCGAAAACGTTAGTAATCTACAAATTTCGGGAACTTTGCTCGGCGCGACATGCACCCCATCACACGTACTACAAAAGAAAAGCTGCTTGAAGAAGTCCAAGTCCCAGAACACTTGCGTGCTTGCTACGACGATTCACGAAAGTGAAGAGAAAACATGGTATTCCCTTGCTGCTTTCTTGAGGAGTCTCTGGGCTGAATGCTGTGAATGCTAGACCAACACCGCTCTTTCTTCTCAAGTAAAGCTTCAAGATTGCTCGCAAGGTTCACTCTCGAGATGGTTTCAAGATTATGTTGTTGCGGGTAGAAGACCAAGTGTAGGCACGCTCCATGTACATTCTATATTTCGACACCTTTTTTGGTCAGGGTAGTCTCGTCCGTTCTCGCAGCTCAAAAATGCATTAATGAAAGCGCGACCCGCTCTCTGCAAGGCCACCCACTGGCCACCGCAACGCGAAACTTTCATTTTTGAAGGCTTAGTGTTGTGCGTTCGCTACGTTTCTAGCTCTCGCATTTTCACATGGTGGGAAGGGGTGGTAAGGGGAAGCAGCCGATACCAGCAAGTGAGAATTCTTCTGGGCCCACTGCACCCTCTCTTGGCCTAATGCATTTATAAGCTCGGTTTGGCATAGGGTTCTATCTGGGGAGTGCAGGCGGGTTGTTCTATCTTTTCCTATTATTTTTGTATTAATCACCACTATCATTGGTATTGGGGGGAGGAGGGAAAAACTCACCCATGCGCGTATGCGGCGCGGTTTCTTCACGGCGCCGCGGCGGCAGGGCGGAGAAAAAGGCGATGGCCCGCGTCCCCGGCGCTGTGCTCCAGCCTCTTCTCTGTGGAAGGAAGAAGAGGGAAAAGTAGAGAGAGAAAGGGTTGAACAGATAGTGGGTGCATATGTGAGTTAGTGGTAGTGGTAGGAGATCACAGAAAAGTCGACTATCACGAATTACTTCAGTGAATGGCAGAACTGGCGGCATAGTTCCCTTCGATTGTGAAAACGACGCAAGCAGT